ACAGGAGGCAATTTCCGACAATGCGTGTGTGTCCAAAACTACTGTATTATTCCAATTAAAGATTAATAAACCCCAATTGTTATCATTAACAGTCCAATCCAAAGGTACCGGTTACCCACATGTAATCCATTATTTATTTATTTATTTATTATATATAAGTGTCCGTGTCTTAAAATGTTTTCCACCAAAAAAAAAAAAAAAAAAACATTTGCCACGTCAACCACCCCTCAGAATCCCTTGTTCTCTAATTTCTCTCTCAGTCGTATTCAAACTCTGACTCTCGACTTAGGACTCCTCTCTCTCTCTCTCTCTCTCTCTCTCTCTCTCTCTCTCTCTCTCTCTCTCTCTCTCTCTCTCTCTCTCTCCCGGCGAGGCGCAGTTCGGAGAAGATCATGATAGACCAGGTGCAGAGCACTTCAGGTAGACCAGGAACAGCGAGTGAGTCCCGACTAGGGAGTCGGGACCGCTATGTAGGTGCGGAACTTGACTCACTCATTGAGTCCCGATCCCAGTCGGGACGACCAACGATGGCTCAGAGCTGGATGGACCAGGAATGATGAACTGCAATTCGAACGGCCTACCTGGATGAACCTGGACCAGGTGTGAATCCAATGGAGGAGGGGATCCCGGCCAGGACCGAGTCAGGAGGAGGATCATGATAGACTAGGTAGAGAGCACAAGGTAAAGCAGGAACAGCCAGGCTGAGCGAGTCCCGACCTGGGACCACCACGTAGGTCCAGCAGAACCCAGACTGCGATCAACAGGAACAGCAGGGCGTAAAAGGGAGATGCTTGCTAAGCGCATACTCACACTCCAGACCATTATTTAGAGTGAATCCGACCGTATTTCAGGGCAGATACGCACGTGGAAGTTGTTAGTTTGATACGAGTATGCCAGGGGGCCAGCCTCAGCCGGGGCGAGGTCCAACTTGCGTGTGGTTTCTCCATTCCGTTTTTTTTTTTTTTTTTTTAACAACGGTTTCTCCATTCTGAACCTCCTCGAGTTGACACTCTCAGGGCATATAGATTACTCGCACTTAGTGTAAGACCTTTTCTACTCAGCTCTGGACGTAATTGCGGTCAGATACAGCCACGTCTACGCATAATTGCAGTCAGATGCATCCAAAAAAAGTCCCAGGTGTTACCGACCTTTTCTACTCAGCTCTGGACGTAATTGCGGTCAGATACACCCACGCAGGTCTGGGCAGAAAAATGCAGTCAGATTCATCCCAAAAAAGTCCCAGGTGTTACCGACCTTTTCTACTCAGCTCTGGACGTAATTGCGGTCAGATACAGCCACGCCTGGGCAGAAAAATGCAGTCAGATGCATCCCAAAAAAGTCCCAGTTGTTAGCGCACACACTCTGGCCATCAACGAGCAAGACATACAAAACAACCCCCCCCCCCCCCCCCCCCCCCCCCCCCCCCCCAAAAAAAAAAAAAAAAAAAAAAAAAGGAAATGGGATGTGGGCCCCCCTCGGGGGTGGTTTTTTTTCCGCTTCCCAAAACTTTCCTATTATTTAATTATTAATATATTTTTATCATAATTCCTTTTTTTTTTTTTTTTTTTTTTTTTTTCCGATTTGTTTTTTGGCAATTCAACTCTCACCCCTCTCTGACTCGATTTCCGAGCCTTCACCTCCTCCTCCTCCTCTTTAGGGCGCTTCGCTTGAAGTACACAGGAAGCTAGGGGAGAGCCTCAGAAGAGTCGCGCTGACATCAGGAGTAGTATCTTGATTGGGATCGGGAGATCAATCACTGATTGGGACTGGCTCTTCGTCGCTGGGAGGGGTAGGCGGTCCATCGCTGATAATATCCGACCACTCGTCCGAGGGGGTGGATGGGGGGATGGACACCCCCTCCTCCCCCACCTCCTCCTCCCCCTCGACTGTGGATGGCGACGAGGGCGCCTCGTTGATGGGTAGAGGATTCTGGGTGGCATTGGAGGGCTGAACGTCTTCGTCAGATCCCGACACTGGTGGCAAAGGCTCCTCGCTGGGTTTCGAGATCACATCGTCGTCCACGATCTCCTCAGAGATCGGCGGCGATGGTGGCGCTGGTCGTAGTGTCTCCTCGCTGCCTATGGCAGAAGGCGGCTCCTGCACAGGCTCCTCCTCCACAGGTGCCCCCGACGAGTTCGTTGCAGGCTCTTGTCTTAATGGCAATGTCGAGGGAGATGAGCTTGGAGTACCATCGTCGTCTTCCTGATTATCTAGGGGAGTCGGGATCGAGTCTGACTCAGGAGCTGGCTCCGACTCTACAGCTTCGGCATCAGGTTCTGATAGCTGGCGGGTCGCTGACGTCCAATCATCCACCACCACGTCGGTGTTTTCGTTTGCAATCACTGTCGCCGCCATCTTTCGATTATAACGTTGCCTTGGATTAGGCATGATGACCCTATTAATACCCTTTGATTGGTCCACGTAGTCATTATTACCCCTTGATTGGTCCACGTAGGCAGGGTGACTGATTACCGCAGCTAGGAACACTGCCACGGTGAGGATGGCAAGAAGACCTAAACCCCTCTTCAGACCCATTCTTCTTCTTCTTCCTCCTCTTCTTTCTTCTTCTTGTTCTTCTTCCTCTTCTTCTTGGTTGGTTTCTTCTTGGGTGATACTTCGCTGAAAGTTCGGTGATGCTTGGTTTGTTGTTGCGGTGAAACTTCGGTGATTCTTCGTTTGTTGTTGTTGCGGTGAAACTTCGGTTGCTTGGATTTATTGGCTGCTATATATAGATTTGATTAAGGGGGCAAAATCTGGTGCCGATGGCCTTTGGGAGTTCCAAATGATTGCCAATGGGCTTTGCGAATGTCAAACGACTGCTCTATATATATTTATATCCATATATATATCGTCACAAATAGAACTGCCCGGTAAATATATATATTTACTAATCATGGCACTTGTGTCTCTTCGACGGGTCACCGTGTTGACAAGGACAAAAAAAAAGAAAAAAAAAGCCGTTGAAGTATTTCCGTGTCGTTGGATTATGATCAGCGACAATGCCCGCCGTTGATGCAATCTGTGCCTCGGCAGCGACTTTCTTGGACCCGATCCCGATGACCTGCCGCCAACTCAAAACTTGGTTCGTCGATTCAACGGATGAGCAATGGTCCTGTGACGTCAGACAGTCAAAAGAGGGGGAAAATAAACAGAAAAAAAAAAAAAAAAAAAAAACAGAAGAGCAAATAGACAAGGAAAATGTGACAATGTAAGAAAAGTGAGACAACGCAAAAATAAATAATACTGTAACATAAAAAAAAAGAAAAAGGAGCAAGGAGATATATAATTATCCAAAATTTTTGAAAAATAAAAATAAAAATTATCCGAATGATTGAGAAACAAAAGAAGAAAATCAGAATGATCATACACACCGAGGGCGTCGCCACACCAATCTCGAATCGAAATGTGGGAAAGGCAAAAACGTGGCGGGTGCACCTGGCTATGTTCTAGGGGGAAATTCGTTCTCATTGCGCACATTTCGAGAGTGTTGTGGCGATGCCCCGACTCATCAACTAGTGGTAGGGAATCCCGATTATTATGGCCATTATTATTTTATTACTATTTTTTTTTTTTTTTTGGGAATTATGGCCATTATGGGCCTCCCTCCAGGCCCTCCACTACTCACCAAATGTGCAAATGAGGGCCTTCCCACACCATTGTCCAAAAGGGCATTTTCGACATTTTCTCGTGGTATGTCCAAATCCGAGATGAGAAAAAAAATCAGGACCTGTCCGGAAAAGGGTTTGAACACCTCCTCTCGAGCAGGGGGGCTGGTTTCCACTTCAGGCCTGCAACTTGGACCTTTTTTTTTTTTTTTTTTTTTTTTAAATTTAGAAACACAACTTCAATTACACAAAACCTCTCGAGGCCGGGGCGACTTTTTTTTAATATTATTTTTAGAAACACAACTTGAATTACACAAAACCTCTGGACGCCGGGCCCCTCACACTGGGGTATTATGTCAATTTTGATGGACATATCGGCAAACCCATACATCAACTTATAACATCCATTAATGCAGTTGGGTCAAGACCAAAGGTGTCGCCCTGTATGGACGAGTGCTCACCATGAACAACGCCGTTTTTTCCAAACTTTGGTACGGTATGAACGCTTTACAACCTTCAGTGTATCAACATCTCAAGAAAACAGCTTCAAGCTATATTTGGAAAGAAAAAACAGCAGAACCTTCTTTTCTTTCTAAAGTAGCTTGGAATAAAATTATGCAAAAAAAGAAGGGTTAATTTCAAAAATATTGTTGTTTCAAAATTTGGCAGCAAAAATGTCGTCCGTTTGAAGTTTCCTTTGGAAAAATAGAGGTTTCGTTGCAGATTTATGGGGTTCCGGTAGTTTGCCAGCAAAAGTACCGCGTTTTGCCGAGTTTCACAGCAAAGGACCCCTAGGCCCCTGGCCTCAGGGACTCAGGGACTCAGCGTTCTGGCCTGAGGCACTCAGCTGTTCTTTTTTTTTTTTTTTTTTTTTCCCCCGCGGGCGTGGCCGAGGCATCTCGGCCTTGGCCACGCCAAGATCCTTCGGTCACGTTTTTTTGTTTTTTTTTTTTCGTGGCCGCGTCGGCCATGCCCCCCCCCCCCCCCCCCCAAAAAAAAAAAAAAAAAAAAAAAAAAAAAAAAAGAGAAAACTACGGCGCAGTCAGGGATTGAGTTTGTAATTGCACTTGAACGCTGAGTGCCTCGGGCCAGAACGCCGACTCCCTGAGTCCCTGAGGCCAGAGGCCTAGGGGTCCTTCGCCGTGAAACTGGGCAAAACGCGGTATTTTTCCTGGCAAACTATGGGAACGCTATAAAGCTGCAACCAAACCTCTATTTTTGCAAAGGAAACTTCGAACGGACGACATTTTTGCTGTCAAACTTCGAAACAGCAATATTTTTGCTATTAACCCCAAAAAGAACAAAGGCGGTTTGGATCTGCAAACTCGGGCCCTTCTCACCAAATGGCCGATTAGATAACTTTTTGCTGAAGAATCTGCCGCTTGGAAAGCTTTAGCAGAGTGCCTGTTGGCTCTCGATTTCGGACTTACTTCCAACCCAACTCTTGTCTATTTGGCACTGTTCACAGATGAGTACTGTAGGAAACGAGCATTGTCGCCCCTCTGGCGTGGTATACTTGGTGCCTGGAGGGCGATCCTTCCAAGTCAAAAAGCCCCCATTCTTCAATATGATCGCCTATTAACACAACCCATCTTTAATAAACCGTGTATTTTGAACTCAGACGGTGTTCCCTTCCCTCTACTTGGTACAGCAGCCTTCGGAGGTTTTTGGATGTCCCGATGTTGTCGCCACTCTTTTTTTGGGGGTTTTAAAAAAAAAAAATGGGGGGTGTTTTCAAGGTGGGGGGCTGTGTGGTCAGGTTGTGTAGAGGGGGGCTCTCTTTTTTTTTTTTAACTGTAGTAATTTAAATCTTTGTGTCATTAGTTGTTTGTCCGTTGGCGGTTTTTGAGCTGTGGTCAATGTGTTGCTTCGGGTTTCGGGCCAGCTGCCTATGGCCAAGGCCGTGTCTGTGTTTATTCAGGGGGTTTGTTTGGGGGGTTATGTGTGTGGTGGTTTATTGTAATTTCTATTCGTATGTGGCTGTGCTTAGGGGTTTATGTTAGGTGTTGGGAGCTGTGGTGGTGTTTTTTTTTTTTTTTTTTGTGTGTGTGTGTGTGTGTGTGTTTCCAACATGTAGTCCATTATTTATTTATTATATAAGTGTCTTTGTCTTGAATTAGGGACTCTTTAGACACTCCTTGGGCGCTCAAAAATCCCGAGGAATTGATCGTTCCATCTGTCCTCGGAGAGTGCTCCCTCGAAATCGATGTGAAAACTTTTCCTCGGGGCGTCGTCGGGGCGTCCTCGGGCTACAGGCATTTGGCTGTGTTCCCCAAGGTACCTCGCGAGGTCCCTCGGAGTGGGAGTTTCCGCGAAAATCGGGACGGCGGCGGCGCTCTTCGACGACATCAGAATTTTGTAGTCTGGTACATTGCTGGTCCAGCCGAGGTGCGGGCGGACATTAGCGGCCGGCAACGTTCGACTCCGGCGGGAACGACCGCAACGGTAAGGTTGGGTGGCGGACATGGTCCCTGGCCGTTTCCGGTTTATCCCAGCCCCTCACCAGCGCCGGCGGGAAACGGGAAGGCCTCCAACGGCCAGCCGTTTCGAAAATGACAGCGGCGTACGTCCGTCACCGCGCGCAGTGGTCCACAATGTAAAGCGGCAGAGGGCGTCGCCAGTCGTGCCCACGCACGCCTGCTGTTTGCTGCCGTCTGGGTAGACGTTACGTTGTCGTGCGTTGTCGTCGTTAGTTGCCCTTGCGAGAACGGTTGTGTTACATGGCTGACGTGCTCCGCGAGCTGCCGCTGGTCCTCCTCGTCGTGATTCTGCTTCTCGTCGTCGTCCTTGTTCAGGTGTGCATATTGGGGAGGTTGCCTTCACGTACTCGCAGGAAATGAGGGGTGAGGAAGAGCGTGGCCATGGACGGGCGGCGGCCGAATCTTGCCACGTTGTCGGACACTTATCCCAGCCACCGGCCTGCGATCTGCACCGGTGTAGACAGAAGGGCGGCAGGTCCGTTGCCGTACGAAGGACTCCCGCCTCACATGCAGCCTCTGCCCGATTCGGACGAGGGGGAGGCGAACGCGAACACGCAAGACGGCGGCGGCGCTCACTGCTGCTGTCGTAGCCAGGGTGCGTCACGTCTTCTAATACGTGTCGACGTCTGTGCTGACGCCCAAACGGCCATTGGCCGTTTCCGCATGACGCCCACTGCAACACCCCTGCGCTTTCCCGATGGGGCCGTCACACGCACGCATCTCCCCGCCCCACCGCACCAGACGCCACGCTTGGCCGATTCAAATTTCGAATTTTGAAATCACATGCGCGCACGCACAATTTTCCTTTTCCCGTGGCGGCGGCAGTCCCTTTTCAAATTCGCCGCCCATATGCGGTGGACCAAGTCCAGCCAGACGGACACCAGACGAAGGACCACCGCCCAAACACTCGTCCAGCGGCCGCGTATAACATTATACGACTCCCCGCGGCCAGTCCTCGGAGCATCCTCGGGGATTGTCCCAAGGGACGAGTGGAACGAATGCGGGAAAATCCTTGGGCTGCCCCGAGGATTGCCCCGAGGATTTCCCCTCGGAGCCCGAGGACGCCCCCAGGAGTGTCTAACGAGCCCCTTACCTGGTTTGGGAGCCCCTATTCTTGCAGGGGTTCCCTCTATATACCTCTTTTGCGATGGAGTACTGGTAGGAAAGGTAGTGAAAGACACAAAGAAGAATTTGAGAGAAGAACATACTGTAGTTTTATAATATATATATGTATATATTCCACCCAAAAAAAAACAAAAAACATTTGCCACGTCAACCACCCGTCAGAATCCCTTGTTCTCTCTCACTCATATTCAAACTCTGACTCTCGAGTCTCGACTTCGGAATCCTCTCTCTCTCTCTCTCTCTCTCTCTCTCTCACACACACACACACACACACACACACACACACACACACACACACACCCTGCGCAAATTCCTTGTCAGACCCTCAGGGGATAGTCACACTTGCTCTATCTTAAATGCACGTGACAGCATTTACGGCTGGACCTGGATGCATCTGATCGGAATTACGTCCATAAATAAGTAAAAAGGTCCTAGTGTAAACCTTCAGGGCATACTCACTCGACTTTTGGTGTGAGCTCTGGAGGTGATGGCCATAATGGCAGTCAGATACATTTAGGAAAGTGCTAGTAAGAGTGTGCCCTCATTTCCGCTCCACTACATCACGTGAGGAGAGTCAGGAGACCCCTACTAGCCTTCCAGTCGTCATTCATAATACAATTTCCTGAACGAAATAAAAGTTGAAAAATAATAATAATAATGCGACCGAGCAATGAGAAGCCAGACAAGAGTTGAACCTGGCAGCCATAGTACCTGAGGATGGGTACTGTTACAAACTGAAATTATGTGTGAAATATTTATCTTAAGTTTTTTAAATGAGGGACGCTGGACCCGATTTCCAGCAGGTACTGATCCCCACCTATATATAGATTGGAGCTGAAGTTGTGTGGAAAAGAAAAGAAAAGAAAAAAAAAAGTTGAACCTGACAGCACCCCCAACCAGAG